CTTACACCACAGACCACACTCAGCCACCACATTTTCCTTGCAAAAACCCTCAGCTCACCTGAGGGCCAATGGAAATTTATTGATTTTTTAATTTTTTTGTCCTTTTCCATCCTTCCCCAAGTGGCTTTTCCTAGAAAAATGCCTGACATGACACCAGAGGGGAACCTGGGAGCAGGGGGCACCCTGAGGGGCAGCCCAGGGACTTAAATACAATCTGGAGGGCAGGGCACAGGTGGGACAGGTAAGAGACAGCATAAGGGGCATGGCTTCTCAGGGAGATCAAAGACCTGCTTTCCTGCAGGAAGCAGCGGTGCCAGAGGACAGGGGATGGGATCCTGGGTACAGAGGGGGTGAGCAGAGAGGCCCCCCAACCCTGGGTGGAACCCACATTCCCCAGAGGACAAGTAGCAGCAGGGGTTGAGGGCTCCTTGACTTTTGCCTCAGGGACTTTATTGTTGAACCCTATCACCCCATTTTGTCAGTCCCCCTTCCATGGAAGTCCAGGGAGCCCCTATAGCCAAGAGTAGTCTGGCAACACAGGGAGCAGGATGTTAGGTGGCGTGACGAGGTGCTCCCGGCACTCCATGGCAATGGGCTGAACTGGCAATCCCCCGCCCCATTTCCCCATCTAGGAAATCAGCTGTGTGTTTCTGCCGTCTTCCCCACCTCCCCTTGCCCTGCCTCCTCCCACTCCCATGGACTGCTCCTCAGTGTCACATCTAGGTGGACTTGGAATGTACATGGTGGGAACTCAGGCCTGTCTGTCATCATGGTCCTGCGTCAGTGCCCTGAGTGACAGAGCCAGGGTCTCACACAGGCCATACTGGGAAGATGACAGTCAGCACCTCCTGTATTCCGCACACCATCCACACTCTTAGTCTAGCCCCTGTGAACCCAGGCTGTTGGGCTAGGGGTCCTTTCCATGGGCCAGATGCCATTCAAGAGATATGCACATTATCCCATGTAATCCCCACAACAGCTCTGTAAGATAGCAACTATTTAACCCTCGTTTACAACCGAAGGTACAGAGAGGTGAAATCACTTGTTTATATCACAAAGCACAAGGTGGCTGAACCAGAGTTCTAACCCACCCACCCATTTAACTCCCTGCTCTGAGGCCTGGACATGGTAAAGCCTGTCCTGAGGCTGAAGACACACTTCGGGCCTTTGCCCAGAATAGTGGAACAAGTCAGAGGAGACAGACAGACAGTGCTTTGTTCTTTCGCTACGGACAGAGCAGCAGCAGAGACCCTCTGGGATGTTCAGGAGACAATCAAAATGCCGGGGGGTTCTGGGGTCTGTGATGTCTGTAGCATGTGGCCTCTCTGGGACATAGCCTGGGGAGCCTGAGACCCCTTCTCTCCGCAGGAATTCAGCTTTTTCACCCAGGGCAGGAATTCCAGCCTCTCTGGACAAGCCACATGGTCACAATGGGGTCCATTCTCAGAACCCTGGAAAACACAGGCCCTGCGGAGAAAGACGGATTCTTGTTAAACACAAGGGCCCTCAGTGCCACGATTTAGATCAGGGAGCAAATAGGGGCAGAGAACGGCCTGTAGGCCCCTCTGTCTGTCTTGCCTGGAGGTCACTGCCCCTGGAGACCATTCTGTGCAAAGGCTCTCAAAAGCCAGAACAAAAACCCAGCTAGGGGCTAAATGGGGTGAAAAAAAATCCCCCAACTCCCCAGCCCTCAGTGACCCAAAGCCCCTTCACCCAGCCCCTTTGCTCGGTCCTGTCTCACTTGGTTTCTGGAACATGCTCCTTCTCACTGTGGTGGTTTCACAGAGAATTCGAATTCTCACAATAGCCCTGTGAGGGCACTCGGAGTAGCCTCCCGTTAGGACTGGGGAATCCGAGGCCCAGAGAATCTGTCAGTGTTTTTCAAACCTTCCTGCCACTGCAATCTGATACACAGACAGAGACAGACATGTGGTGCAGGTGCCACAGAACAGCCTTGCCCGGGGTGACTTGCGGATCATTTTTAGTCTGTTCCTTTTGAAATGCTCACTGGGACCCGTACATTGATTCCACGACTCACTAATGGGTCACTGCCTGTCATTTGAAAAGCACTATGTTTGAAGTGGCTTGTCCAGTACCACCAACCCCTGAGGGACAGAGCTGGGCCCAGAACCCGGGTCTGCTGACATTCAGCACTGGACTTTGACATCCTTCAACTGTCAACCTCACCTCTTAACAAAAATTTTCCTCCAGCCGGGATCTGACCTCATCACTCCCCAATTCTGCAGACTTCTAGATTTCACAGCCAGATATCAGAGCCTTGCCCCGCCTGGTCTTTCATGGCCTGTCCACCCACTAACCCCCAACTGCCCAGTCCGCAACTGTTCGGAGCTGCTTGTTCCTGCTTCTAGACCTTTCCCCCTCCATGGATCCAAACTCCCTTGTCCTTCAAGGCCTCCTTCTCCAGGAAGCTACTGGGATGTTCTGAGACCCCCTGACCTCTCCTTTCTCTGCACTGAGTGTCACCCCTCCTGTCATTCTCATCATGGATGGTCTGAGAACATTACCTTTTCGTTGGACTTACGTCACATGTATCTCCTCTGCCTGCCTGCACGGGCCTTAACGAGATTGCCTACAGCAGGAGCTTAACAAGTGCTTATAGGGTGGTAACGGCAGTCGAAATCTCAATGTGTCTCGAGAGCCCCACGTCACTCTCCTGGCCAACACTGCGTCTTCCCCAGCCCTCGTACTCTAGGTAGTGCCCATGTCCTCAGTGACAGCTGGGCTCTCAAGGTCACCCGCAAGTCAGCTGTCTGGCAGCCCAGACGGCCTCTCGAGCACTTCCCAGTGGCTGTAGGCCCCACAGACAAGCTCCTGGGCCCAGCAGCCAATGTCAGCCAGACAGGAGGGGAGAATACCAGGCTGGAAGTTTGGGCGTGTGTCCTTCTCTGCCAAGGCACTTGCTGACGGGAGGGAGAGTGGTGGGGGGCGGGGTGGGCAGTGGAGGGCATGACCCTGCAGTATTTGTCAGAACTGCACCTGGTGGGCCCTCAGCACCCTTCCACAGAGCTGGCCCCACCAGGCCCAGCTTCCTCTCCTCTCTTTCCCGTGCCTCAGTGGCTCTTCCTGGCTCCACCTCTCACTCTGGGAAGCCTGAGTGGCAAGATGGCCACCTCCTTTCCCCAGTGAGGACCTGCTGCCCGCCGCTGGTGTGACCTCTCCTTGTGGCCCAATCACTAGTGGACCTCAGTGTAGCCTCTCGGGAGCACTGTGGGTCAGGACTGTCCCTTTAGCTTCAGGAGCCTGGGCCAGCCACTGAAGCCTCAGACCTCAATCTCCTCATCCATGAAATGGGTGAACACCTGCTCTGTCTACTTCAGAACACCAGAGACTAAATCCTGGGAGTTTTCAAGGGGAAGGCAGAGTGTGGGGAGCCATGTGTCAAAACGGGGCAACACCTGTGAATTGTATCTGGCGAAGATCAATGAAAGGAGAAAAGAAAAACCCTTTACGGTCTGCATTAGCATGAAAATACAGGCCCTTTACATCTCTTGGTTTTGGGGCTCTCTTTGGGAAATTAAATGTGTCCTAATAGATGGGTCCAGAGGCATGTGTCCATTCCTGTGGGTCAGGATGGATGCACTTCCTGGTGCTCAGCGCTAGGCAGAGACCAGCGGTGGTTTTGGCATTTGCGAAAGACCAAAACTCTGAAAGTGGAGCTAGAATCACCCCCGCCTGGCACTGCCTGCGGCCTCGTGGTGAGGTCCTTGAGGAAAAGCTCCTTTCATTTCAGGGGCGCTGCAGGGCCCAGGTTTAAACAGGCCTTTGCCACCTGCATAGCAACTGAGGTGGGGTCTGATGGGCCCAGGTGTGAAAGAATAATGGCAAAGACAATTTATAGCAGTTTCTGTGCGAAGCCCGTTCTGCATACTGTACATTGCGTCTTCTGCAGACCCTGAGGGCTTGGTGCTGCGATTGTCCCTGTTCTATAGCTAGAGAAGTAGAAACTCAAGAGGCCAAGAAAGTAGATCAAGGGCACCCCCCCGCCCCAGCCAGCAGGGATTTGAACTGGAGGCCTCCATCTCCAGAACCTGCCTCATCCAGACGCAGACTGCATCATCCTACAGGGAGGGGCCGCACCACTTGGGCTGGGGAGATGAACCACACCACCTGGGGATAGGGTGGGGCGGGAGTGGAGGCAGCCGGAGTCCTCGTTTAGATGGGGAGGGATGGAGTGCGGGGTGAGGGAACTCCACACCTTTCCCAGCCAGGCCATTCCTGTGGACCACAGGAGATCACCCATCCCAGTTTGTCCAGTTTGAGCCCTGAAAGTCCCATGTCCCTGTTTTCCTAGGACTATGGGTCACTGTACCTGTGGTCTGAGTCACCCCTGGACCAGCTGCAGAGAGTGAATGGCTGAGTGGTCTGACGCGAGGGAACTATTTCAGGACACAGCCTGGGAGGCCTTTTCAATTACATTAGCCTCTGGCAACACTAGAGGGAGATGCCAGCCCCGCCTTCTTCCTGTGGCTCCCTGGGATAGTGATTCAGCAGCAAGTCGGAAGCAGGCTAGACTGTGACCTACTGGGAATGGAGTCACCGGCAGGGTGGGGGCTGTCAACACCAGCTCAGGGCTAGAATTGGAGCAAGGATGGGGAGTGGATTGGAGAAGGGGACTCTCATGGGAAGGAGGGGGCTTCTCAAGTTGCTAGGGAACTGAGCCCCAACGAAGGGCCGCTGCTGTCCTGCCAGGCTGGGATTGGTTGTAGGGCAGTGGGAAGTGGTCGTGGCATGGAGGAGGATCCCTGCCTTTGCCTCTTGCCCTTGTTTGTGAGGGATGGGGGAGTCCCAGCCACTGGATACCTAAACTGCTTATCAGCCTATTCAGCAGCTAAAAATATGAAATGGCTTTGCTAAAGGATGCCCAACCAGAAGCTTCTAAAAGGTTTCCTATTAGGGCAGCGCCTACTGGGGCGGGAGGCCAGACACCCTGAAGGAGTCATGATTCCTCTTCGTTCCCACCATTCAGTCACAGCCTGGCGATTCCCACTGCCAGGACCTCAGCCTCCACCCCATTAACCCCGTGTCCTGATCAGGTCCCTGGGCTCTGGCTTCCACTCCTGCGCCCCCGGCTCCAGCAGGGGGTGGCGATTGGGCATCTGTCTGGAGCCTCAGAGCAAGGCCTGGGTTTTCTGGTCCCCAGTCGTGGCCTCACCCACTCACTATGTGGCCTTCAGCAAGTTGTCTGGCTTCTCTAAGCTTTGCTCTTCTCACCTGCAAGAGGAGAGCCCACTCCTGCTGCAGGGAGGGACCCAGAAGCCCTTGGTGGGGAGGACTCTGTAGTCTGGCTGAAGGACAGGCAGGCCAGGAGATTTCTCAGGGGTGGCCGGAGCCTGATGGAGATGATGCAACACTGAGGCAGCCTCAGAATCCCCAGGGGAGCTTGTTGGAGATGTAGGTCTTGCAGTAGGTTGGGGTGGGGCCCTCCATCTGAATTTTAACCACTTTCTAGATGATTCCATCAAATGGCAGGCTGAGAATCACCACGCAGGGCCTGGCGCAAAGGGGGCCCTCAAAGCATGTGAGTTTTGTTTCTTTCCCATTCTTTTCTTTTTATTTTTTTGAGACAGACTCTCACTCTGTCACCCAGTCTGAAGTGCAGTGGTGCCGTCAGAGCCCACTGCAGCCTTGACCTCCAGGGCTTCAAGTGGTCTTCCCACCTCAGCCGCTCTTGTAGCTGGGGGTACAAGTGCATGCTACCACGCCTAGCTACTTTCATTATTTTTGGTACAGATAAGGGTCTCACTACGTTACCTAGGCTGGTCTTGAACTCGTAGGCTCAAATGATCCTTCTGCCTCAGCCTCCCAAAGTGCTGGGATTATAGGCATGAGCCGCTGTGCCTGCATCACTCCTGAGTCTCGCTGTGCTCCCCTGTCTCATGGGAACAGCCTGGGTAGCCTGAAGCTGCTCAGAGCTGGTGAAGGAGAAGGTCGCCATCCCTGGGAGGAAGGGGCACGCTGCCTGGCAGCCGGGTTGGGGGAATGGTCAGTGGGCCATCAGTCCCAGGCTTCTCCTGCCTGGACCAGCAGGAAAATTGTCAGACAGCAGAGGGCAGCTCCTCAGTGCCCTCCACTCCCTGCTCTTCCCCAGTAGCCCTCAGTGAAAAGGCCTGAAAAACTAATTTCCTCCTTGGAAGTGGAAAGTCTTCTGGGCAGGGCAGAGCTACCGTCTAATACTCTTTTCCTTCTCTCTGGAATTCTCTGCACAGTTGAGCTTTTTGGGGGCACAGCTAGGCACTCCAGGACACAGTCTGCCCAATCTCCTTTCTGCAAGGGAGGCAAGCGTGCCCTTGTTAAGGCCTTCCCTGGACTGACAGGTGGTAGCCCAGGGAGGGGGCAGATGGAAACTCTCCCACCTTTTTTTGTTTTTTATTTTTTGAGACCGAGTCTTGTTCTATCACCCAGGCTGGAGTGCAGTGGCACAATCTCGGCTCACTGCAACCTCCACCTCCTGGGTTCAAGCCATTCTTGTGCCTCAGCCTCCGAAGTAGCTGGGATTACAGGCAGGCGCCACCATGCCCAGCTAATTTTTGTATTTTTAGTATAGACAGGGTTTCACCATGTTGGCCGGGCTCGATCTCCTGACCTCATGATCCACCCACCTTGGTCTCCCAAAATGCCGGAATTACAGGTGTGAGCCACCACGCCCAGCCACTCTCCCACCTTTCTGTAGCTCCTTTACAAGGCAACAGTTTCCACAGATTCTCCTCCACCCCATCCACACTGCAGTTTTTATTCCTTCCATGGGCTTATAAACCACAGCCTTTCCCCAGATTGGGCGGCCTTGGACAATGGCTGAACCTCTGTTTCCTAATCTATAAAATGGGGGTGATAGGACCTTCCTCTTAATGTGGATGAGAGGATCAAAGGAGACATGGAATATCAAGGGGGTTCTCAAACAAGGAAGAGGAGATGTCAGAAAGGCAGATTCCTGAACCTCACCCCCAGCGTTCTGATTAAGTGGGGTCTGAGTCGAAGTTTTGGGAAAGGCAGATGCCTAGGAGCAGGGGAGCGCCCCACTCTCTGCTATGCAGGCAGATCACCTTGGAGCTGAATAAACACTCCCCATGTTGGAGGCCACCCCTAGAGCTCCTGGAATGGAATCTTGGGGAGCCTCCATGAAGCTGACTCTGCTCCCTTCCCGGGGAGCCTGCTGCCTCTTCCTCCAAGAGAATCCCCCTCCATCACACCCCCACCCCCACCTTTCCAGTGGCAGACCAGTGGGCTAGTTGGCTTCCACCAAAGATGGGCAGCAATTGGCATTTTCTTTGGCCCCTGGGGAAAATGGAAGGCATTTCCTTCAGACTCCACAGAGAGCCCCAGCCAGCCCCTCTGCTGTTCCCTGAGCACTGAACAGAACTTTCAGACTTTAGGGGCACGTGAGGCTCAGGTTAAGGGAGCCAGCTCACCTTTCCCAGACCCCTAAGGATTGTGAATGGAGAGTGGGGTGGGAGGGGTCGCAGAGATAAGGAAGGCTGGAGCAAGGGCCTGATTTGCGAAATCTGCCCATCCTTGAGTCTGGGTTAACTCTTTGCTGGAGGGCAGGGCAGGTAAACGGAGGCTGGGAGGGTTCAGTGCCTGAGGTTACAGCAGTTACAGTCTCTGACAGCATTTGAACCCAGTGCTCACTTCCTCGGAAGCTCAACTTCCGTTCTTACGGTTCCTGGCCTCCCGGTTAACTTTGCAGAATCCTCTGTCCTCGACTTCCCACGCCCCATCGGGACTCCCCAGCCGTAGCCTGAGAAGGGTCTTATCCATGACCGCTGCCAGTCTCAGGTCGGACAGTGAGAGGAAGCAGCCACAGTGGCCCACAGCGAGTCTCGGGTCTAGGACAGGGGCAGACTTTAATCAAAGGGTCACACAAATCTGTGGTTACCTGGAGGGTGGTGTGGAGGACGACACATTCCAGTCGTGACTTACAGGCTGAGTGGGCCGGGTTCACCTCCCAATGCTTTGCATGGCTAGCGCGAATCATGCAAAGAACAGGGAGGTGAAACGCTCCTGGGGCGGGGTGAGCGGGCTCCCAGTGCCAGGTAGGACCCGGGTTCCGGCGAGCGCCCTCCCGGACCCTCAGTTTCCCAGTTTGGGAAGTGCAGAGAACCTGCCTCGCCCTCCTGGCCCCGCCGAGGCTTAGGGAAGGTGAGCCCCCGTTAGCAGGGCGGGCTGGGGCGGGGCGGGGCGGGGCGGGCGAATCGCGCCCGGGGGCCGGGCTGGCAGGGGGCCCGCGGACTGGCGGGCGGGCTGGCGCGGCGCGCAGTGCGTGCGGCTGCGGAGCGCGCTGCTCGCCGGCGGTGGGCATCACATGAGCAGCGGCACCGGGGACCGACCGCAGCCAGCCTGAGGGCGCCCCCGCAGCCGCAGCCCCGCGCCCTCGCCCGCTCCTAACCATGTCTATCTGTTGTTGCTTCTTTTTTAGGGACTATGGCAGTTCCAAGAGGAAATCAGGTAAGGGAGCCTCCGGGCGTTTTCCCTTCAGCCTTCCTTCCTGCTCCGTGCACGCGCCCCTCCGATCCTGCGGAGGACTTCTTGGGGGCTGGGGGCCCGGGGGAGGTTGTCCTTTCGCGCCAGCCCAGGGGTCCTGCGGGGCCGGGGATACTCGCTTCACTTGCCCCTCCCCAGTGCATGCCCCCTGAGACCTCTGGTCCTAGAACCCTCGTTCTCCCGCCACCGAGTCGCTCCGGCTCCCGCCACCTCTCTGTTTCCAGTGGGAGTGGGGGTGGGTGCATGGGGAGTGCGTGGGTGGCTCGGGAAGGGCCTAAACCCCTGCACCGTGGGCAGCCGGGTCCTTGGCCCCCGGGCTGCGGCGGCCACTGCTGCGCAGTGCTGTGACTTCTCCAGTCCCTCCCGCGGTGCCCCGGTGATGGAAGGGTTAATAGAGACGCGGGGCTCCCCTGCAAGAAGGTGAGATTGAGATCCAGGACTGAAAAGGGGTCGTCCTTGAGTCACTTGAGTTTTTAGCGCCTGTATCGTGGACCTTCCTCCCTCCCCCAACTCTGAGCGTGTTCTCCCTGCGGAGGTGGGGGCTCTGCGTTTTAACAGCTGAGACCCGACCCTCCCCAGCACCCCCGCATTGACCTGACAGGTGCCAGGGCCCGCCCGGAGTTTGGAAGGGGGTGGAGGCAGGGAGAGAGGCAGGCCACCCCTCGGAGCTGCCTGCTGTGGGATGAGGGTAGAACAGGATTCTCTCTGGAAGGGGGAGGCTGGGCTCCCCAAATGGCAAACGCCTGGATGTGGGTGGGCTATAGTTAACTGGGGGAGAGTGGTCCCTAGGAATTAGGGCTGTGTGTGTGCTGAAGTGGGGGTGGGGACAGACTGCTGCAGTGATCTGTGCTGACACATGGATTGACCACACTGATGGGGTGCTGGTACGTGGACATCCATCCTGGGGTCTGGCCCTTGGGGATGTAGGTAGTAACACGTGGCTCCTTGAATGGCTCCTGTGCCCAGGTGCATTGGTCTGTGGATAGGTTGAGGGGTGTGCCCCGTATGGTGGATGGATGTAGACTGGCATAGATGTAATTGCAGGATATGTATGTTTCTGTGTGTACAAGTGCTTGTTCACGTGCCTGTTGGAACCAGGAAAATTGTGTCTTGGTTTATGTGATGGGGGCGTGTGTGCCTGTGGGGTTCTGTGTACATGTGTGAGTCATGATAGCTGTGTGCTATGAGGGTGTGTTTACTTGTTTGGGTGCATAGGTTGGGTGCATGTGTAGTTGAGATCTATCTGGTTATGGGTTGGAGTCTGTGTTCGTGTATATTTGTGTACCTGTTTGGGTCATGTCTAGCTCTGCATGTCCCAAACTGTGTGTGCACTTGCCTGTCACCTGGGTGTGAGGTGTCTCAGGCATGCTTGCCCACTGGTGCAGAAGGGCATTTCTGTGAACGTCTGGGCAAGGCTGGGGAATAGCGCTCCTCCACTCTCCCTCCACACAGGCCTCAGGTGGGAGAATGAAGGAGGGGCAAAACGGATTGTGCTCTGTCACCACCCGCACAAGAAGCTTGACTTGGGCCTCAGAGGTGTAGTGTCCTGGTTGAACCTGGGCTCAAATTCTGACTCTGTGTGACCTTAGGCCAGTTTCATACCCTCTCTGTGCCTCCGTTTCTTTAAAACAAAGATGCTAATGTATCTACCTCACACAAGAGGATTAAGTATGTTAGTGTAGAATAGTCCTGGCACCTAATAACTATACATGTGTCAGTTCTCCACAGCAGGAGCACTTTCTGAAGGACTGGGACCTAGTCCTGGCTCCATTGCCACTTTTCTCCCTACGTGACCTTGGGCAAATTCCTTATCTATGCTGGACCTCAGTTTCCCCCTATAAAGGCAAGAGCTGGACAAAATAACCTCTTGGGTCCCCCGCCACAGTCTCTGAGGCTCAGCTTCCGCACTGCTTCCTAAGCAATGTAGGGCCACACCCAGGCTGCCTTCCCCAGAGAAAGCTAACTCCCAGTTTCTCTGCCTTCCACTCTCAGGCCAGGAAAAGGATGGATGGAGAAATTTAATTTACTTTGGTGTGCTTATGATAATGGCCACTTAGTGTCGTGGTTGAAAATGCCAGCTCTGGAGCCAGACAGCAGGAGTTGAGAGTCTGGCTTCTCTCCTCTGTGACCTTGGGTAGATTTCTTAGCCTCTCTGTGCCCATTACCTCTTCTGTACATTTGGGATAACATTCATACCTACCCACTTTGTGATGGTTTATTATGTGTCAATTTTATTATGTGTCAACTTGGCTGGGCCACAGTGCCCAGATAGTTGGTCAAGCATTATTCTAGATGTTTCTGCAACGGTGTTTTCTAGATGAGATTCACATTTAAATAAATCAGTGGATTTTGAGTAAAGCAGATTAGCCTCCATAATGCAGGCTGGCCTCATCCAATTGGTTGAAGACCTCTTAATAGAACAAAGACTGACACACACACCCGCCCTCAGCAAGGAGGAGTTCTGCCAGCAGCCGGCTTTGGACTCAGCTGCAGCTCTTCCCCCAGTCTCACATTTTGGACTCTCAAACCTCCATAATCATATGAGCCAATTCCTAAAATAAATCTCCCTCTCTCTTCAAGCTCTCTATGCAGCTCCTGTTGATTCTATTTCTCTGGAGAACCCTAATACACACCTCATATGGTTACAACAAAGATTAAATAAACTAATATATGTAAGCATGCTTAGAACACTGCCTGTCACCTAGAAAGCTCCCCTGGAAGTGCTAGTTAGTGTTATTGAATGAGCATCTACTATGTGCTAGGAAATTTACACGTTTCTTCATTTGCTGATCAGAACCACAGTACATGAGGGGTAATAGGATTCCCATTTTGCAAATGAGAACCTGAGGCTCAGATGGGGTGACTGCCCACACACAGCCCTTGACAGTGAGGATTGGAGTCTGTGTTGAGGGCTCCGCCCGGCTCTATAACGAACCTCACGAAGCTTCCCAGGGTCACTCCAGCCAGGGACATTTGCACAGAGGAAATGGATCCATTCTGGGGTTCACTGTAAATCTCTTTCTGAGCACAGTTCTTAGACTTGAGGCAAGGCTTAGGGAAGGTGGAGTCAACAGAAGAAGAAAGTTCTCAGCAACTTTCTGGAGGAAGCAGGGCTGGTGAACTTGAAAACTGAAGGAGATTTGGCCTGTAATTTATCTTCATCTTTCTTCCCTCCATTGAACCTACTCCTTCCAGCATTTCCCCCATCTCAGGAACTGGCACTATCTACTGTATTGCTCAAGCCCAACATCTAGAAGTCACTCTTTTTTTTTTTTTTTTTTTTTTGATATAGATTTTCCTCTTTTGCCCGGACTGGAATGCAGTGGCGCAACCTCAGCTCACTGCAACCTCCACCTCCCAGGTTCAAGTGGTTCTCCTGCCTCAGCCTCCAAGTAGCTGGGATTATAGGCACCACCCACCACTGGGGCTAATTGTTGCAGTTTTAGTAGAAACAGGGTTTCACCATGTTGGCCAGGCTGGTCTCGAACTCCTGACCTCAAGTGATCCACCCGCCTCAGCCTCATCCCTCCACAAAGTGCTGGGATGACAGATGTGAGCCTCCGCGCCTGGCCGAGAAGTCATTCCTGACTCTTCCCTTTCTTTTACCTGCCAGCTGGAGCTGCAGAGCCGCCGTCTCCTTACCTTCACCATCACACATGTTAGAAGCCCCCTTCATCTCTCCAGGAAGACCCCACCTTCCTACCTGGTCTCACTGCTTCTCTATTAGCCCTCTATCTGACATTCTCCACACCACAGCTAGAGTGAGCTCTTAAAAAATATGGATCAAAAAAAAAAAAAAAAAAATATGGATCAGTTGGGTACAGTGGCTCATGCCTGTAATCCCAGCACTTTAGGAGGCCAAGGCAAGAGGATCACTTGAGCCTAGGAGTTCGAGACAAGCCTGGGCAACAAAGCAAGATCCTGTCTCTACCAAAGCCAAGTGTGGTGGGACATGCCTGTAGTCCCAGCTACTCAAGCGGCTGAGATGGGAGAATCACTAGCAGGGGTGGCTAGCCAGGTGAGAAGTTTGAGGTTGCAATGAGGCATGATCATGCCACTGCACTACAGCCTGGGCAACAGAGAGACCCTGTCTCTAAATAGGAATGAGGAAGGGAGGGAGGAAAGGAAGAAGAGAAATAAAGAAAGAAAGAAAATAACATACTTTCCTGCCTAAATTCCCCCCAGGGACTCTCCATCCCACCCAGAACTAATTCCCTACCCTGGCTCACAGAGCTTGTGTGACTTGGCCCCTGGCTGCCTTCCTGACCTGGGCTTTACCCCTCTCGCCCCCACCCAGCACACTCTGCTCAGCCACACCAGTCACCTTTTGCTCCTTAAACGCATCAAACACATTCTTCTTTGTGGCCTTTGTACTTGCTCTTCCCTCTTGCCTGGAATGTTCTTCCCTGATCTTTCACATGGCTGGCTCCATCTTAAGATTTCTGCTTAAAATTGTCACCTTGTCGGCAAAGCTACCGGATCCTTCGCTGTCCAGCCGCCCCGCAGATCACCCCTCTTCTTCCCTCCTGATCACTTCCCACACTCCACTGGTCCCATGTGTTTGTTTCTTCTGTCTCCCCGAGAGCAGAGACCGTGGCTGGAGGGCCTGCATCAGTATCGGGGGCCACTGGTACTTTTCAAATGGGTGGATGCGTGGAAAAAGCCATCTAAGAAGGAGTGAACCTTGTCCAGGGTCAGGAAAGAAAGGTCATGGTGGCTTCAAATTGGGGACGATTATCTGGAAAGAGGAGACATTTTTCTGGTTTGGGAGCAGAGAGCGGGAGCCTTTGGTAATCCAGAGAGGGCACATGCACAAAGGTAGAGGGATAGGACTAAGTGTGGCTTGTTGGGAAACTGACCTCACTGAGCATCAGCTGTATGCTAGGCGCTGTGCAAGGTGCTGTGGCTGTACGTCCACAGGTGAAATGTCTTTAGGGAAACCGCCACCCTGCTGAAGGCCTTTC